CAAAATATGAAAAATGGGCAAATATTTTTTCTACTACAAACATATCTACTTCTTATATAGCAACACTAAACCTAGAAAAGGTCTGATAGCCTACTCTAGTAAAGTTTTGGACTGAGGATAAATTAGTCCTAGCTATAGGTTCCTGTAATAATTTATATAAAATGTTTTAATTAATATAATACCAAATTGTTCAATAAAGACCGAGAACAGGCTCACTCTAAAAAAAAAAAAATAATAATAATCATTATTTATGTTTGTATATTCTTTGTTATTTAGAATATTGTATTGGGCATCTGCATGATTAAACTATTTTTGATATTGAGATTTTATAAAACAGATTTTGTTAGAAGGATAAGACTTGTAAAATTTGTAGTTGTGTTATTAAAACCTGTTTGTACAAGTTTGTTATTGTTGTGTTTATATGTAATAATGTTATAGATAAGTTTGATAGGAGTGAAATAGGTTGTCTATTTTTTGTATTAGTTTGAAGTTTTGAAACAAAAGTTTATTATTTTTTAGCTAATGCATCTAAGTAAGTAAAATTTTTCTTAGAACTAGTTCTGTTTCTTAAAAAACTGTTTTTGTAAAAAATTGTAATTTGCTTTCTTATTTGTAATTGTAATGTGGTTTCAAAAAAGAATACAGGTGAGAGGCCTACTAGCCTATAGTAGTTTTTTTTGTTTATTAAGATATTGTTAGTTTCACTCTGTTTTTTTTAATTTTGTTTGAATTTTTAGATTATCCTGTTTATAAACTGTGAACTTAAGTTTAAAAGAATTATTAGTCTCTAAAAACTTATTTATTTTATAAATTTCTATTTATATATATATTTTGCTAATTATTTGTTTATTTAGTATATTGTAATTTATAAAAAAGAGTTCTTTGTAATATCAAATTTGTTTTAAAAAAATTGAATAAATTTATAATATTTTTTATTTTTTTGATATGTACTAATGTCTGTTTTAATATATATTTTTGTAAAAGTTTTAAAAACCTTTTATATTTATATATTTATTACTTGAATTAGACTATATAAAATTTCTATAATGCCTAATATAATGTTTTTTAAACATATTAAAAGATTTTTAATTATTCTTTTTTTATAATGTTCTAATTTAGATCTTTGTATACTAATCTGTTTTTATTAAAATTTTAAACTTATACTCTATATCTTTATATTTTTTTAAAAATATTTTTTATTTCAAATATTTTATTTTCAGTTAATTTTAAAAATATTCTTTAATTGTAATCAGAATCTCTGCTAGTTTTATAAAAAATCTTCTTTAATTATTGTTTTTTTTTATTAATATGATTTGTTAAAAAAACTTTTTAATTTCTTTTCTTGTTTCTACTAAACATTTAACATTTATTTTCTGTATATTTCTTGATCTTTCTTTTTTTCAGAATCTTTATTTTATTTGTTCTTATATAAAATATTTTTCACTAACCTTTTAGATCTTCTATTAACTCTTGTGATAACTCACTTTGAGTTATATTAATATATTTTTCTTGATGGTGATTAATGTATATAATTATATATTAAGTTCTTCTATATCCTTGTTTACTATACTAATAATCAACGTTCTCAATCATAAAAATGAATTGACAAGAATGAAAACAAAGTGAAGTAATTCAGTAATCCATAAAGTAATTTGAAAGTTAGAAATGAACCACTTTTTTAACAAATAATTTTGTGACTAGTAGAGTTTAGAAGACGTTGTCTATAAATTTAAAGATTAAAAACATAGTTTGAAATCTGGAAAATCATATATTAATTAACAAGGTGCCAAAACTTAATTTTATCATGTATTAATAATATGTAAAACATATTAATGAATCATTGTGTGACAAATAAGACTTACTACTTGTATTTCTCGGGTCCTTGTAAAATATTTGACAGTTTTTGCCTAAGTTTTTTAATATCAAAATCAGCATGGTGAGCTTTTGTTTTGGAAGACAAAATATACTGTCGTCCATTGGAATATACGAAGTTATACTGGTAGCTGGAAACTTTTTTGCTTAAGCTAAATAATATTGAAGTTACAAAATATTATAAAATACAGTATATAGTTTATATTTTTATAAAAAAAATTATTGATAAAACTATCTAATTAGAAATATATATTTATATTTAATTTAACTAAATTACAAAACTTTACATCGGCATATTACCTTCTTTTACTCTATAAAAGTCCGAAATTTATTAAATAAATCAATCTTAGCATGCTAAGTAAAGTCATTCAAAAGATCAATACATTTTATTCTAAAAGTTTGATATAAATTAAGTAGCTTTTTATTAAAATATTGAAAACCAGTCTAAATCTTGATTCTGAACCAAACCAAGTTTAAATTAGGTTTGGAACTTATTATATAAGAAATTTGGTTCTTAGGTTTTTAATTTGGAACCAAGGGGGTTTAGAATCTAAACCAAACCCAAACCAACTTAATCATCTCTAGACTAAAGGTATAATCCTTCGGGTGTACCTTCAGACTTGCGATAAAGAACCTTCTCACACACTTTCCTATAATATTCAGCGATTACTTTCATACGACGTTCGTAGAGCAAGCAAACATACCTAAGTACAAATAGCCTAAATCATGTAGAAAGTAAAGTAAATACATATTGATTATGTTTGCCCTTTCTAAGTCTAGATTTTGTCAACAAATTTACCTTAATGTCAGTACCACTCAAATCATCTTTTGACACTACAAATTCCTTAAGATCCACATCATCTAATAATCTCATTCTTTATTAAAAATACGACGTTTCGTTTTTACGTCTGGAAGTGAAAATTCTATCTTTCAGTCAATGCGTCCTTGGCGAATCAGAGCAGGATCTAATTATTAAGTACGATTTGTTGCCATGATGACCTTTATAAATATAAAAAATCGAATTAATAATTTATGTATATATTAATATAAGCAGGAAATTTCTACAAGCTAGTTAACCTTTACATCTCTAGAATCAAACCCGTCTAACTGAATCAAAAGTTCTAACATAGTTCTTTAAATTTCTCTTTCACCACCTGAATTGGAATCATATCTATAATTAAATGATGTCAATTTAAAAAAAATAATAAGAATAATGAATTAAAAAATAATGACAATTAAAATTATAAAGTCAATCAGAACAAGATTCATGTCTATATACCGTTTAGTTCCAATAGCATGAATTTCATCAATAAATGCAATGTAAGGCGCATCTTCTTCGGCAACATGAAAAAATTTGCGTACAAGTTTTGGACCATCTCCAAGACATTTTTGTATCAATTCTGAACCCATAACGCACAAAAAAGTTGCAAATGTTTGATTTCAACGGCATTATCTAAAAGTGTTTTACCTGTACATGTAGATACCTTGTTGATAGAAATGTTGAATTTACCTACTCCCGGGTTCCATATAGGATAACATCTTTCATAAAGTTTTGGATGTGTTAAGAGTAATTCTACGGATTCTTTGATTCCTTGAATTGTTGTTCTAAAACACTAATATCTTCATGTGATTCTATAGGTGCTTTCTCAAGTTTCAAAACACTAACCATTGGATCAGTATCATCTTGAAGTATACCGACAACAGACATAGCCTATTGGGCGTATATGTTAAATAAGTAGACCAATAAAACAACAAATAAAATACGCGTTTTTGTATATACCTTATGATGTAACAAAA